GATTAACAAATATATAATATTGTAATCCGTGAGTTACTGATGGATAGTGGATAAAGACTGTGGAGAATAATACCACGTAGTTGATGTGTTATTATAAAAAAAACAATTGACTGGGGTGGAGTCTCCTTTTTTATTTAAGAGGTAAAATTGTCCATCCGCAAAAGTTCAAGTCTTCGGTGTCCATGAAGACGTTTTAGTAAAAATTGTTTTTAAATATCGTTGAATCAATAAAATTTCAAAAATTAGTTTTAAAAATGGCATTTAAAGAAAAAATAAACGGGACATTGTACGAAGTTTATGAAACAAAACATTAATTGATAAATGATAATGACAGAACATTTTCTGTGTACGGCATTAAAATAAAAAGCGATTATTTCTATAATGAGATTAGAGTAAATAAAACTGATTTGTATACAACTAGTTAAACATTATTTTGTTATTCGAGATAAGATCGTTTTAGTTTATATTTGTAAATACATATTAAAAACTCAAAGTTTTTAGTTTTATTAAAAATATAAATTTTTATTGAGCAGTCATAGTATATGTAAGCCAAATTTGTGTGGTGAGGAAGTTTATTTTTAAACCTTACCAACATAAACTTTTATGAACACAATATGGGTAGGAGAAAACAATTTTGGGAGTCTTGACTCCGTGGTTTTCTTAAAAGTTTGATTGAGTAAAGTCAATTCACGGGTACACCTCTTAAATTATCAATAATATAATCCCTCTTGGAAGAAATTCTCACTTAAGATTTAATATTATGTATTATCGACAGAAATTTAATTACACGCCAAATAACCATCGGTTCTAAAACGAATTAGGTAGCAACCTCTCATGAAATAAATAATAATCCAATTAGCAATTACTATATTGTGTTTTTGAACCGAAAAATCGTCATGAAATAAATAATGATAATAATCGTACGACGTAGATAACAAATGCTGTAAAGTATTCAAATAAAAGTATTTTAATAGGCAATTATATTTTTAGATTTGTGACCAAAGAAATTTATAATCGTAAATTGTAGAATTATTAGTTAAATTACATTAGAAACATTTATATACGGTGCCGGTGTGCCCTAAAAGCTTGGCGAATAGTATTATGCGAATGCATGGGTAGGCGTGTGACAAAAACCGAAATTGATTTTCTTAATGGAATTCACTATTTATGTAGTTAAACAGATGAGCGGTCGATAATAATAATAATTATTATTATCGCTAGTATCAAATAATATAACATTTAATATTGTTAAGTACCTATTACTAATCAGTTAATGTAGTAAAATATTGAATCATAATTTAAAAAGTGACCAAACTGTTGTTCCCCAACTGATATAAATTAGCAGAAAACAAAGCATTCCAATACTTAAGGAAATATTCGAATATATTTTGAGTACAAAATAAAAGTGTTCTCTACAAGACTGTAAATAACTGAGTCTAAATACTGCAGTTATTTTTACATGAAAAATTCAAAATTATTATATGTCTCTCCTAGTCCTAAGTAGGTGTCACAAAGGCATGCCAGTTTTGAAAATATTACAATATTTTTTATCAGTTTGATAGGAAATGTATGCAATTTTCATCGACGACACGGCGAAAACTATACATAGTAATCCACATATAAATGTTTTATAGCCGCATAGAAAAGAGAAACAAAGAGGTTTTTCGTTTAAAACATTTGTACTCTATGTATATACGAGTAACCGTATAAAGTTGCTGCGGAAAAAAGGACATGAAATTTAACAAAATATATTAGTATGTATTATACACATGCCGACAACTGTATACACTTACATAATATAATATTTATACATATATTTTTTTTTTCTTACAATGTATAAAATAATAATACACTGCAACGTTTTTATT